GGGGGGGTGGCTTTCCCTGCTCTGTAACCTGTAGCAAGCCTATCTGAATAGGGAAAAATCTGTCAGCTTTCTCCTCCTTAATACTAGGTGAGGCTCCGCCCCACCTGCCTCCCCTGACCGCACGTCCCTGCTGCATTGGGTGTAGGCTGTGGCCCTCTAGTGCCAGGTTCATGTTTTCAGTAACAGGTTCCTCCTTCCTCTTCTATCCCAAACATGAAAACCGAGACACAATTTATTTCCTGGGGGGGGGATCTCTGCTTGAATTTTACCGCAGGGCGTGTTTTGGGAGGTGGGGCGGGATTACGAGGTCCACCATTTCTGAACCCCAGGAAATATTTTGAAGGTGTTTGTGTAGCCTCCCCCCCCCATCACCTTCTGTGGCTACAAGACATTTATTGGTGGCCGGGGCTGTAGTCAGCCTGGCTAGATTTGTAGTGGCGATTATGTGGTTAATTCCCGGTGTCTGCCTGTACCCCCCATGGGCGGAGTGTGACTCTGTCATATTGTGGGACAGCCAATGAGAGGCACTGTAGTGTATGTACAGTACAGCAGCCAATCACTGGGTTTCTCTCAGCCGGTGGTGCATGCTGGGATAGGATACATATATTGGTGGGAGCTGCCATGTGCTCAGACTAGCCGGGACCAGCCATGGAATAGGGCTGGGTCCTGTTCAGCCTGCCCCCCCCATGCTAGGCCGATGCCTGGGGTGTTGGCATGGGCTGGTTTGAGGGAAAATGTTTCCCTGAGGCCTCCAACATGGAGGAGGCCTGTGATGCTGAAAGAGGAAGAGAACCGGGACCAGTGCATGCTCTTGAAGTATCCTGGAACTAGGAGGACTTCATGAGCATGGTCGTTGTCTTTCCTGCTTGAGGATCTCCATCCTGTCTTGTCTGCTACATCAGTTGCTGTCCTCTGTCTCCCAAGTGGATCTACACTGATAGGCCAACCAGGTCTGGTGAGTCTGGAGCTCTTGTTGGTTACCCCCGGACACCTAGAACCCCCCCTGGACCCTCTCTCCCCAGAGAAGATGTTCAATAAAAGGTTATTCAGCATTATACTACTGGAGTGGACCTCAGTTTATGGGCACTAGAAGAAGGGCGGTTAGTGCTAATGGGTGGGCAGCTGAAGATCATCCCCTAGACAGACTAGAAATGAACCGGCATCCAGCGGCTCCTTCGGGGGTTTATCCTGGAACTAGGAGGACTTCATGAGCATGGTCGTTGTCTTTCCTGCTTGAGGATCTCCATCCTGTCTTGTCTGCTACATCAGTTGCTGTCCTCTGTCTCCCAAGTGGATCTACACTGATAGGCCAACCAGGTCTGGTGAGTCTGGAGCTCTTGTTGGTTACCCCCGGACACCTAGAACCCCCCCTGGACCCTCTCTCCCCAGAGAAGATGTTCAATAAAAGGTTATTCAGCATTATACTACTGGAGTGGACCTCAGTTTATGGGCACTAGAAGAAGGGCGGTTAGTGCTAATGGGTGGGCAGCTGAAGATCATCCCCTAGACAGACTAGAAATGAACCGGCATCCAGCGGCTCCTTCGGGGGTGAGCGCTACATTAGCATAGGAGACAAATATTTATAGGCCAAACGTTCTAAATCCGAAACGTTTAGTTTGGAAGAAGTCGGGAATCCCCGTCAAGTTTTATTTGGCATCTCGCGGCACAACAGGAAGTGAGAGGAAACTTCTCCCGAAATTAGGGAAATCATCTAGTAGTCACTGGGGCACAGATGTCCCCTCTGGAAGCTTTCACCTTTCCTCCTATTCCGGTGACAACTCCGAATTTTGCTTTTCCCGTCACTTTCTGCCTCGGTGGCCAGCGGGACAAATGTGGAGGAGGAGTCAAAGGCAGCGAGAGAAACCGATATTATTGTGGTGGTGAGGAGGTGGAGCGCCGGATTATTCTGTACGTCCCGTAGAATCAGGAATTGTATACGGGCAGCTCTGGTTGTTGAGAACTCTTGTAAATGGTCCTTGAAGAAACATGTCAACGAGGTGGAGAATAGGAGTGCCCCTCCCCAAATTTATTATACTGCCAATA